CATATGTTGCATTTTATCATTGTGACATGTCCATTCAGAAGTTTATATATTGCATTTTAGTAATATTACATGTGCACTTTGGAAGTTCATACTGCATCTTATCACTATGACATCTGCATCGTATACTCAACGAACATGCATATTAAATTCATGAGGTCACAAAATCCATAATGTTTCTGGCACACGAAGCTAGAAATATTTAGACATTTTTTTGTATGAATACGAAAATGATGAACTTCATGAAGACACAAATCAAAACGTTAAGTATGATAAATTTCATAATGGAAAAGGATGTTTTTCTGGCGTGCACATTGGATTCAAATCCAAAACGTCAAAATCTGTTAAATCTCATACAAAGAATTTAAGAAGTATCCGAAGTGCAGAATTTCATGGGGAAGAAATTGGGGATGAAATTATAACCAAAGCAGAGAAGAATTAGTGGTTGCTAGGAACTGAATAATCAATGAAAAGTTTGGAGATGGAGATGAATCATCAATGAAAAGTTTGGAGATGGAGATTAATCATCAAAGAAAAATTTGGAGATGGAATGACTTAGGGATGGAGATGAAGATGGAAACAAAGGAGATGGAGACGACGTACTTTTCTGGCGATGGATGTTGATGAATGAATATGGATGGAAAGTAAATAACCACAAAGAATCGGTTAGCTAGGGAAACTAGGGAGTACGTATGATTTTCCAAAAATAAAAATAAACTAAAAAGACCACTTAGCCCATCAATTAAAAGATCAACCGTGTTGTAATCTAATTAAGATGGAGGGCCTTGATTAGTTTGTAGGTTAGTATATTAAGATGGGTTTATATTTGATCTCTTACCTATGTGTGTGTGTGTGTATATATATATAGTGAGAACACCCTCTTAGGAGAGTAAAAAAGAACAGATCTTGATCATTAATAATCTTGATCCAATGGCTCCTACGATGCAAACATAAAAATGGCAAATTGAGTAATTTTGTACAATTCGTATAACTAAATTAAAAGCAACGATAGAATTTAATGAAAGCAAGGGCATAGAGGGTAAAAAAAAGTGACGTGCAACAATCTCAATTAATATTGATATCATAATCTCAATTTAAATCCCTAGAATTTTGCACATCACGTACCATTGACTCCATTTAAATAGGAGTGTCCAACTAATTGACTAAATGTGTATTAATATTTTAGGATGAGCCAACAATTAAATAACCAAGGTGGCGTGTACAACAACCAAAATATTAATGTGCATGCGGTTACTATTCAAAGTGCAATAGTTATCCCATTTTTATTATTCTGTTTTATTATTATCACATTGATTAGGTCCAAATATTATATATATAAATTTTATTATTTATGTTTTATATGCACTTTAGAGTGGAGACTTGCACATTTGATAGTTTATTTATTCGTTTCAAGAAATTGAATGATATATATTTTTAATGTGCTCTATTAATAGTAATGAACAATTTTATGTATGTATTTTACTAAATTCATGATGCACTTTTATGTTATGATTGTTCACTTTTAACTTACATAATAAGTTGTAGAAACAAAAATATTTTTTTTTGTTCATCTACGAGTGTACTTTTATTTTAAGCGTAGAAATGCACCTTGATCTGATCGTAATGCACTTTCAAGAATTAATAATGCACACCCCATGAATAATTCGAGAATGTGCAACGTGTATGAGCGTAAGTGCATCAAAAATATTAACATGCACTTTTTGAAATTATATTACACTTTTCATCCCATTAACATGCACTTGTGATCTCATTAACTTAAATATTTATTGAAGTTGTAATTTCACAACTAAGCTCATACATTTGTGCACAATTTTTTCATATGTACAAAATGCACAATTAGAAGGATCACACACAAAATGTGCAGTATTAATAGAATATTGGTGCACTATATTTACTAGTACATGCATCATTCTTTCACATGTGAAGTATGCACAATTCGAGGGGTAAAAATGCACAAACATTGTTCAATACAACTTCAAGATATGTATCAACTAGTCATATTTTAGTCGAGTATTTAATATAATATGTATAAAATAAAAATGTATAATTGGAAGCTATGTTGTAAAAACCGGACCGGAGAGTGACCCGGCCACATGACTGGGTCACGGGTCAACCCGGACCCGGTGGGTCAACCCGGTCAACGCCGGAAAACCGGTCAATGATTATACGTCTATATAATAATAGTAAACATATAATTATATATAAAATTATAATAAAAATTAGTTATTATTCATAATAATCAACTTACATACTACTTATTAAGCATTTAATACACTCTTATAATATTTCAATGTATATTTTGATCTTATAAAAATATATAATGATATTTTTATTTTTATTGTACGTCTATATTATAATTTGGCATGATGTTCATTCTTAAATAAATATATAAATATATTATGTAGTTTTTCTTTTTAAGGTATTGAAATTGCAATTTTATTGGTATAAAAAATGCATTAAAAATAAAAAAGAAATTAATTTTTTTGGTAAAAACACTCAATAACTGGGTTTTACCGGGTTTTTCGGGTTTCTTGGGTCCGGGTCTTGACCGGGTTTTCCCTGGTTAGCCAGGTTTTTCCGGTTTTTGACCATTTCCGGGTTTTGAAAAAACCGAACCGGTTTTTTGTCCGGGTCACCGGGTTCCAGGTCAACCCGGCCGGGTCGGGTCGGTTTTTTAAACATAGATTAGAAGTATAAAAAATGCACTATTGAAATTATAAAAGTGCATAAATAGGTTAAATGGAATGAAGTAGTACGTAATAAAAAATAAAATAAATATATTCAATAATATCTTGAAAATGTGATTGTGCTAGCAAAAAAATTAATACATGTAGAATTGAAGAACCCCAAAAAAGGTAAACACGGCTTTGATTTGTAAAAAATTAGAAAGTGTAATTAATGTACCTAAAAAATAGGGGGCTAACAATTCGGATGGTCATCAACGAACAAAATAAAATAAGGTGAATTCTCAAATTTGCCCAATTATTCTTTACGTGATTCTCCTAATTCTTTGGTCAATCTAATGGTTAAGATCTATTCTCTTTTACTCTCCTAAGATTAAGTTCTCACACGAACCTAAATCTATATATATATATATATATATATATATATATATATATATATATATATATATATATATATATATATATATATATATATAATTAGTTATATAAAAGATGTAAATTCATAAATAGAAAAATTATATTCCATCAAACTTCAATAATGATGATACAATATAAGCAATGTCAAAAAATTGTACTAAAGTATATTGACTAACAAAATTTAAAATGCATTTGGATTTTTATAGATAATAAAAATGAACATTATACTAATTAAAAAATAATAATAATAATTGGAAGATCATATACTACGTACGTGATTGGGAAGTATAATCACTCAGTCCCAATTTATAAGATACATTTACTATTCACTTGGTCAACATAAATCACTCTTAATCTTTTACTTTATATATCAAAAGTTTATGAAATTTAAATTATTTTTTGAATGTTTTGTAGCGGATCTAATGTAGTTTCTGAATATGTAAATTTTATTTTCCAAAACTAATTTGAGTGTTGACAGGGATCGATTTGCTTTATCGTCAGTTAAACATCGTAAACCGTAAAGTATTTTACAAATTGGGACGGAGGGAGTAATAACATTGATATGTAATTATTATTATTGTTAGAGATTAAATATGTAATTAACTAATTAATTAAGACTTACCAAAAACATTTCAGGTTAACGCATTATAAAAGTAATAAAGCAACGCCCATCACCAAGTAACTAGAGTAGCACGTTGGTGAGGAGCTCTGAATGGGTGCAGTAGGCGAGATTTCGAAACGGACTGCTTTCTTTAAGTTTTGCTCAAATCCCAGGTTTGCGACGTTTTGATGGTCAACCGAACCGGCATGATGGCCGACCGGGCTGTCCGGGTCGGTTCTTACAACATAGGCTGACATTGTAAAGATATACTCCCTTCGTCCCCTTTTAAATGTCCCGGAAGAGGGAAACACGAGTTTTAAGAAAAGTGTGTTTGTGTGGTTGACTTTAATTGATAAAGTAAGAATAAAGTATGAATGATTTTGAGGCACACAAACTTTACCAAATAAGGTATGAGACAATTAAATAGGGACATCCCATAATGGTAAAATGGGACATTTAAAGAAACGGGGGGACTATGTTAAACTGGTGAGTTATTCGTTTAACTTCAAGCATAGTATCATGGTTCATTTCACATAAGCCTAATTAAATCATCTTGACTAATATTAAATTCCTTTAAACATAATTGTGAACACATATAGAATTTATTTAGGTGATCTCATATAGTCATACTTAACCCAAAAGTTACAAAACATTAAGCCGTCCACTCACCTCAAATGAGTTTTAACGCGTTCTACCCTTCTCGATCGGTTGAAAGGAAAAACTCATAAAAAATTAGCAATGGAATCAATAAAATGTTAAATAAATGAAAACATATGGAATTTTAAGCCCTAGATTGATAGGGACTGATTCTGCAGAATCAGAATCAGTTTTCAGAAGTTGGTCTCCCCCAGTTTCTGAAAAAACTGATTCTAGGAGTAAATTAGAGCCGCAGAATCACTTCTGCACTTTCACCCAAACACTACAGCTTCTGCTTCTACTCTCTGAAGGAGCAGAAACAGTTTAAAGAATCAGATCCAAACACCCCCATAGTCTTCAATCATGGGACCTATTTCATCTTTGAGGCCCCAAATGGATATTTAATTCATTATCCTTCCGGTTCTAAATTCATAAAACTTCAAAAGGAAGAGATGAGTTGAAATTTCAATATGTAGAAATGAGTGAAATGGTAACATCATGAGTTTATCATGAGTTTTGCGTCACTGCATGACTAATATCTATACATGAACTGCTTTTAATTATTAGTTTATACTCCATAATATAATGTGTTGCGTCACCGCATGCCTAATATATATCTAATATTGGAAAAAGTGACATTTACGCCTATATATATCGATCATGTCATATCATCTAAAAGAGAAGTACGTAAAATAATAGGTCAAAATGAAAATACATTATAGTATTACCCTATTGTTATTTGTGATTAGAGTGGTAAGCATAACGACGTTTATGTGTGTTGATAATATTGCGCCAGCGGCAGGGCGGGGGATGAATGGAACTGCTGAAGTAGAAGATGAGCATGCTTCCAATTCCATAGCCGCTGCATCTAATTGGACACAGCTGCAGCCTTCTCCATCATCATCATCCTCGTCTGATCATGGTGGTTATAAGACGAGTTCCGGAGCAACAACATCTCGCCTAATTTTACTCTGTATATGTCTAGGTATCGGGATCGTTGTAGGGTTTGTGATTTGTTGGTATACAAACTGGTGCAGGGCCTGCAGGCGGTGAAGGACGACGACTTATGAGGAGTTATACGTGTAATTAGAATTGGTTTTATTTTTGCTTCTTCTTTCTTAAAAGCAAGAGTGAAATTAGAATTGGGAAGAGTTTCGTAGAAACTGATTTTCTCTAACTTCTAAAAACGGCTTTAGAAGCAACTTAGGGGGAGCACTTAAATACTTCTGCCTTTAACTCAAACACGTATTTGATTCTACTTCCTAAATGAGCAGGAGTAAAGTTTCATTTTTAAGAAGTAAATCCGAACACACTTAACTAGTGGGTTAAATCAATGCATTCAAGGATCTAGCATGCTATTATATTTTGTAAGCAAATTAATTAAAGGGAAATTATCACAAGTAGACTTAAGAGTGCAAATAACATCACTTTTTTCACTATCTAAAGCTTTTTTCAAAATTAGACAACTTAAACTCTTTATTTCACAAATAGACCATGCTCGTGTACGTGTTCCTTCCGAAGCAGCTAAGTTAGTTCTGTATCATTGCTCCGTAATTGATGAACTACGTATCTCTAATTCTCTACTCCTTAGTCGTAAAGTTGTAAAAGTTATTCTTTTTTTGTCTTTTGAATAGAATAAAATTCAAAATAAAAATTAAAATTTCTAAAAGTTAAATTTTAGAAACAACTATGAAAAAGTAAAATAATACAAGTATAAAAAAGTTCTGAAACTATTAAAATTATAAGAAGTAATCAGATTTTTTTTTTGAAAGATTAATTTTTGAAAATTGGAATATATACATGCAAAATTAAAAATATATCAAATTCAAACAAATATACATATTGAAAATATTCAAAAAAAAAATTAAACTCAATATCTAATATAAAATATAAACAGAGTATATAATTCATAATTTTTTTTGTTTTGATCGTATATAATTCATAAAAGTTAAAAACAAGACAATCAATGTAAGCTCAAAAGCATGTGAAATATTAAAAAAACTAAACACTTAAAAATTATTGAAATATATATATATATATATATAATGAAATAAAAATGTTTTAAAAATATAATTAAATAAAAATGTTTTAAAACTGTAAAACTATAAAAATATAAGTAGTATATAAAACTATAGAGGCATTTTAAGATTTTTAAGAAAAAGTAAACTTTAAAAAACCTGAAAATAAAAAAAAATACAGAAATTTAAATAAATGTATAAATTTGAAAAAAATATAAAAACTTAAAAAAATCACAAAACTTTATAAAACAAAAACCGAAAAATAAATTCTTAAAAAATGGGAAGTAATTTAAATTATAAAATGTGTAAAATAGAAGAAATCGGAAATAAAATTTTTTAAAATGAAACAAAAAATGTAAAAAAATAATTAATGGAGTAATAACATTTTACTGTTGTTTTTTTCTTTTTGTTGGTAAGTTTATAATTTTTGTTTCTTTGTTATTTCTCCATGTTTCTTAATGTTTCTTGTTGTTGGTTATATTTATAAATTCACATTTATTGCTTTAGGTGTTTTTATACGCATATATATAGATTGTTTTGTGTTTCAATTAAGTAGCACATATAAATAGCAACCTAATTGGAAATTAAAAATCAAAATTAATTATATATTACAATAAACAACACAATACAATAAAATGAAACACGATACAACAAATTGGAACACGATGTAACAAAAAGAAACACATACGATACAACAAAAAGAAACAAAAACAACAAATGAAAATATCACTATAAATAAATAATAATCACAAAGAGGACATACCCCCAATCAAGCAAGAGCATAACAAGTCAATGCTTCATGCACTAGTGTATTGCACTAAAATACAAAAATAAAGCTCCATACAATCTGCCAAGAACATAAGTTTCTCAAAGGAACAAATAGCAAAACATCGTTGACCCGCACAGTGTGCCGAAAGCAGCATCAACAACATCATGCACTCCCCCTCTATCATCAAAGCATAAGACAAAGCACTAGTACACAATTTGCATATCAATACATACAAAACTCCCGAGGCATCACACCAAGATAGCAACCAATGCACCGCCGTAAGATATCAATAAATTTGGTAGGATATAGTCTGAATAACACCTTGCACACCAAGAGTTTAATCTGCAAAATGCACACTATCAACATTAATCACCTTTTCAACAAAACTAGACTCATTCCTGTTAGGCTTGCAAATTGTGTAAAAAGTGAAGGAAATGGATAGCTAAACAGCCTTGCGGCCCGTGCTCATTATCCTTGCACCTCTATATTGTTTAAGGCACATTTTGACTGAACTGAACACGGTAGAAGTATGCTTTTTAAGTCTCATCTAATGACCAAACCTTGACTAAACTTCTTAGTGGATAGACATTTAAGATGTGCAATTTTTATCATTATAGATGTGTGTGCCTATACACACCCACATATCAAATTACTGCGTACAAATGGAATCATAAATAAAAATAAACGTTAAAAATTAACAGTTGAAAACTGATCAACATGAAGCAACAAAAAGAAACATGTTGCAGCAAAAAGAAACAAATTACAACAACAAAAAACAAATTAAAAAGCACCAAAAAGCAACAAAATCAACAAAAAGAAACAAAAAAAGAATAAACTCCTTAATTGTGTTCCCAATAGTGGACAAAAATATAAATCCGTCAAATGGAAGTAGGTACACTGACATTTTTCTAATAGTACACATGTTCTAAAAACTATCTTAGGTTTGGAGCAACTAGGATGTAGAAGAAACAAGAGCAACCCTGAAATAAAAGTTTGTAGATTACAAACTTGAAACTCCTAATGCAGCAGATGCCCAGAAGAAAGCTGCTTGAAAGTCTGATTATAATAGGATAATCAAGCTTGGGATTTGGATTGAGAACAACTCAGCAATGCAATAAGTAACCAGAATAGTTGTCTAATGCATACAGAGGATGATAAAGTTGACTACCTAATGTACCATTAATAAATGATAATGAAAAGAATATAGTTTTTTCGATAAAAAGGTAAATTAGCTCAAGAGGAAAACATAGCTTATTGAAGTATGTCTATCTTACTATCTGAAACCTCACTATGAGTTTTGCAATCTGATATTATAGCCAAATAAAGTTGACTTCATAACTTAACTGATGCAGTGAATACAAATGAACTACAGAAAAGCAAGTTGAAAGCTCCATGTGGTTGTGACTTGTGAGCACTGCATGTCTACATAAGTATATACATATTTAGGATTATTTTCAGTCTCAATATTTTAAGCGCAATACAAAAGTATATATACTGGTTGAATATATACTCTCTACATGTGCAAAAAAGTAAACCAAAAATAGTGAAATATGTGTTTTCTAGTTTGGAATTTAAGTTACCACTACCAAAACGAATCAAATTGACAATATTAATAATGTACGGAGTATTAGTTATGCTAAATAGGTTACATTGGTATCTGTCATTATTCTCACGAATATAAAACAGTTTAAACTTAAAAAGTTACTCACAATCCAACAAAAGTATTGAAAGATCTGAATCCAGAAGTTTTATTTTTAAAGGAGTACAATGATTGATACCTTGAGTTGGTAAATGAGGATCTATAAATTTACTTCAGTTTCAGATCTGAATCCAGAAGTTTAGTTGCATCCCTTGATTAACTGTAGGCTAGAACTTGAATAAATTTCAATTCGTGCATGAACCAAATTAGTTTCATACAGGGAAATAGAGAATTCGATTTTGTGAAGTTTACTATACAATTTTAATTCAGTAAAACCCAACAAACGAAAAATTCTAATCAAAATTTCCCAATCAAGACATAGTGTGACTCAGAGATGACATAGGAATAAGAAGCACTTGAGGAGTTACCTGAATTCGCTGATAAGCTAAAGTGCGGCAAGACGGCTAGGCTATCATTGCTGTGAGGGCCTGGCGAGTTGACATCCCAAGTAGCGGTAACTAGCGACTATGGCGAGATGACGTCGATGCTTTGCAGAACGGAAGAGGTGAAGCCGAAGACGGATACGTGAATGAATTAGGGATCTGAAAATACACGTTACGTTGAGATCGGTTGAGAGATCAACGACGACAAATTTAAGGTGGAGTCTGTGAGTAAGGCAGTTGGAAATTGGTCGAAAAATATGGAAGATGCACCGACGCGAAGAATCCAAAAGATGAAGACAGAGGTCGATGCAGAGCCAGGTTTTTTGGATTTGATTGTGTTTAATGTTTTGACTCTTTTTGAAATAAAGAAACTAAATTGAAAAGTTGAAAGTTAAATGTGAAAAATAATACGGAGGTGGACATAAATGAAATACTAAGCACAAAATTGGACTCTTCGGGTAATTAGCACTTAATTAAATGCCCAGCCTGCTAGATCTCAAACTGTTTGTTGCTTCGACCATAGATGAGGGTGTGCAATAAGTGTTACTGCACAAGGCCTCTCGCTTCAGAAGCCCAAAATTTTAGATCTAGTCTATGTGATATACAAAATCCTTATTTATTTGATAAAAGATTCCTGTCTTAGTACTTCTTTAAATACAAACATCAAATAGTAATATTTATATGTAATTAAAATGCAATTGTTAATTACAATGGTGCAATTTGTGGGACGAGTTTGCATACTATCCTCCGTCTTTTTAATAGCAAGATGTTGAATTTTACACTATTCACATGTTCTACTTTGACTATATTTTACGGTATTATTTTACGAAAATTATATTTTTTAAAGAATATTGTTCAATTCATATCATTACAAATTTGCAAAATCTGATTTTTAATTATTTTTTACTAATAGAGATTAAGGTATAATTACGGTCAAAGACGTGCGTTGGCAAGTGTGAAATGTTGACCGTTGCAACTAAAAAAGAACGGAAGAAGTATTACTTTGTCTTTCATACTTTATCATTACTTTACTCTTCTTAAAGTATGTGAATAGCCAACTACCAGGATAAATAATAACCGATGGAGTTTAATCCAACTACGAGAGTTACATTTACGAGACCAGATGAAATTTAGGCAGCGTAAGACAGTATTATTATTCCGGAATTCAGATCCTTGGAGGAAATCGATATATTAAATGCTATTAATTGA